CTGTGGCTACATCAGGCAAATGGTAATGCATTTCCACACTATGTTGTAATGTAGCATTCTTGTCTTTTATTCGAGTGTTTCTGGCATCCCCCATTTGATAGATTATACATTGGTTTACTTGTACATTGTGAAGACTATCATCCGTTTGATCTGACTTTGTTACAGGGAGAATCTGATGATTGCCTGAAGCGCCTGGCGGTAAAGGATAAAATCATTGACCCGTAAGTTCATATTCACTTGTAGTCCTGTGTATTCTAAGGGTAACTGTTACAAACATTGGTTGCACTTAAATATAGAAATATGGATTTAAACAGCAAGGCAGATGTGCTTCATAGGCCAGATGACTAGTAAGTATATGTTTCTTTTCATAGGGTTCCTTTTCCTATCATTGCACTGACAATGGACAGCTGTAAGGAATTTACAAAGCTTGTACAACTCCACAGTTCATGAGCAATGCTGTACAGAAGTGAGATTTTATCTTTTAATATGTGTTTTATTGATTTTTTTTGCAGAAAAATGGACGCCTAGTGAGTCCAGATGCTGTCCAAACCACAAGACCTGCCAGGAAACTCTTTTGGACAATAAAAAGTCCATTTGAAGTCATCTGTTTGTTTTTCTTTTATAATTGTGTTGATGGTACTGTCACTGTAAGACTCATATAAAACCATTCTTTATTCCCAATGAAATACCAAATAGGGGGCTGAGCTTCTTCCGTAGTAATAAAGAAAGCCAGTAGCCTGAGCTTTTTTCTCAAGACCTAACCACATACCAAACATCTTAACGATGCATCCATGGCTTTGGCCTGCTGGCAGTTTTTATGCAATACTTTCAAATAATTTGATGTCTTAACTCTTAATCAGGTCACAGACCCTTGACTTTTTTGCCCTGCTGTGACATAGTTACTTCTGCATTTGTTGCATTTCACTACGATGCGATGCGTTGCAGGAGAAATAGTAGTACCCCCAAATCGTACATATACATATACATATACATATACAGAACTATATAAATGGTACTGTATGTGCAACTCATATATACATGTTTATGGGCTCCGCAGGACAAGGTTTTTTATGTTATGCTGTTCGCATACACACAAACGGATCCAAAACATAAACTTGGTGATTGTGATAAGACCGAAGAGACCAATAACATAAATTTGGCATCCTCCTTCGCAGGGCTAAAATCCTCCGGTTCCCTTCCGGAAGGGAACCGGAGGATTTTAGCCCTGCGAAGGAGGATGAAATTTGGATGCATGAACATTGTAAATTACATGTATTCATTACAAGTAGCTTTCTTGGTTGTTATCAAACAGCCAATTAGCTATACTAACAGAATATGAAAATAGGAAATTACCCCAGCAGAATTGACTATTCCATCATGAGACTTCAAGACTTGTGAGCATGTAATATATGTGGATTGCTATACTTCCCTCCCGCATGTACCTTGGGTCATGAATGACACTGGCTCAAACTTTTCTGCAGTATAATGTTCAACAATTTCTTTGAGGTTGATAAATGTAAGGCATATATGGTATAGTGCAGCAGGTCAAGACATAGAAATACTGGATGCTTTTTCAAAACAATATGAAGCTGTGCATACAGGCATGTAAATCGGTATTTTTGAAATGAGACAAAGGCGACCCCTAGCAGGAAGAGAATGATCTGCAGTTGAAAGAACTTTCGGGACTTGCACTGATCTGAGACAAAGTTATAAATTACGTGCAGTGACCAAATCTATTTTGCGTAGACGCCCAAGTGGCGTGTAGAGAAACTACAATCTTAGTCAAAAGTACGTGGAGACCAATATTCGTGTCGCGTGAATTCCGATATTGTTTAGTCATATTTTAACAGCTGAGATTGCGTCAGTAACTTGAGTATGAAGGTGAAATAGTGGTTTATACGGGTACCCAATAGTGCAAAACATCCTTTGTTACCCTGAATACGCAACTACGTTTGATGACCCCTGCCAGAACAGGGCATTGAGAAATGATGTGTGTCTACTGGCCCACGTAAGTTCCTTTATTGATAAGCAATCTGAGCCCTTAGAACAATACCCGGGTCCCATGTGTCCCAACATGGCGTCTCCTAATGGCTGTCGTTGCGACTGGCAACGCCCTCTGACCCGTATACAAAAGACAACTGAAAAGGGGGAACAACTGTGCGCTGTAGCAGTTCTCCAGACTTCAAGAGCCACTCGTTCTCGTACTTGTTTCTCGCCACTCTTCTGTGGACTGCATCCTGTAACCACGAGTCTCGCCAGCCTGTCCTTTATTCCCGTACCGAATATGGAGACGAGGATGTCATCGTACGAGAAGGAAGCGCAGTGGAGACAGCGACAAGACGGGTCTGGACCGGAGGTACGTCGGAGCGCCGTGTTGTCGCGGAGATCTCACCCTTCCACCAGGCAGTCTTCTACAGCCTCCACATACAGCGACTTCTCCACCGTGTCCGCCAGCTCCCGGCACACGGCTAAGGACGACGCGGGGTCCAGGTACCAGAAGACCCGCGGGTCGGAGCTGAGCGGGCCGCGGCCTGAGGAGGGCTCGCGGCAGGGCAGCAGCACCATGTCCCGACGAGAGCTCATGGACCAGTCGACGAGGCAACAGTTCCAGGACAGCTACTACAAGGCTCTGGCCTTGCGATCTGCCAAGCTGCCTCATCGGTACAACTCGACCAACTACGCTCAGCAGTGGTGATACCGACATGGTAGCCTTATCCTAAAGTCACAAGCACAGGTGTTTCATATGCAACACTTGTCTTACTGGCCATATTTGCTGTGTTTCTGCACACACATCTTTGTCTCTCTGGGTTCCATGTGCACCCTTTTACGCATATCATCACCCTGTGTATAATCGTCAGAAACACAACAACTATGGCTAGCAAGACTCCGAACAGCATTGAGACAAATCCATCCTCGCAGAAGAAAGGTCGACGTCACGTTGTTAAGGACAAAAGTTTTCTTTCTACGTGTGACTCACGGGTCCCTAGTCACCATATGAAAACTTTCTCTAGTGAAAGAAGTTGATTCAAGTTTATGTACAGTGTTAACTCTATGTACGAGTTCCCTTCAACCACTTGTGTCTAGTTTTCTTTGCTCAGTGACTGCGGGATTGTGTACAGAGCGCACTCACGTGAAAGGTACGGCGCCATAATTACATAAAGGTGTGTGATTTGTCCAATTACCCCCACTTGGCCTACATTTCGTTCTGCACCTGTTCCTTTGTACTCTGCTCATGGTCCATGATATGTGTACACACCTATTGTGTAGTCTGTCTCCCCATTTGACATGTACCATTATGTGTTAGGGAATTATTTGACTTGTAAAATTAATTGGCCGACCAATAATATATCCTGTTGTTATATTTTTTTGTGCTTCGTGTTATTATGATTGTAGTTGTTAGAAACACACCGAAATTCGCGAAAAGGCACACATATAACTTATAAGTGATAGGTGCCACGGTGGCACTGGCCGTGCGATGTTGGTTTACGGTGGCAAGTTGAAGACAGTGGCGTCTGTTGTAGATTTTTTCATGATCTAGATATGTGTACATGTTACTGTACCGTCTGCCAATGCTGCTACAGGGTCCGATTTGATAAAATTAGAACGTGGTTATAAAGTATGTGTAGCTGCACCCAAATTGTTCTTATGAAATAGACTGGTGTGGTACTAGAATTTGGACGTATTAGAGAAAAACAATGCTACAAGTTTAAGTTCTTAGCCTGGTATCCAGCCTTGTTAGCTTTAGTCCGCTACCCAAGATCCGCTCCCCGCCAACAACTTCTCAGCACTGAAGTTTGTCATTTGAGGACCACTAAGAGTTAATGTAAGTAAATATTGACCAGTGTCACAAAGCAACTAATATACTACATGTACTAGTATTTTGATTCTATACCCACTGATAGGAGAGTTTCAGCAAATCGTTGTTCTCACTGACCAACAAGTTATAGAGACATTTCTCGAGTTGCTAAATATATGTATAATATATGTTTATTGTTAGAATATTTACAAAACTATTAATACTTGTACACTATAATGTCATAATATTCAACATTTTGTCGTGTGAGATTTGCAGTTCGTTAATTGATATTTTATTCATTCCACACAGTATTGTGTAAATATTTACATCAAGACGTATTATACTGAATGCTGCTATGATGTGATTGTATTTTGTTGCTTGCTCTAGCTGCTACAATGTAAACACGTATTCTCAAAGTCAAATGTATATTTTGTGTTACCTTTGACGTGTTTGATCCATAATACACATACACAAATATTTCATGGTTTGTTGGTTGTACATGTATTTGTTATAAGATCTGGTTTAATGCCAAGGGAGCCGACTTACTAATAGTATACTGTAGTAGAGACTGTAGGCTGCCTTAAATTCTTAATGGTCTAGTAAGCTACTTATAGCATATATAAAAGCTGAGCTCGCTACATGCTGCACCTAGCAACATATTGGCACCGACTGGAAGAATGCCAGAATTAGGGCAAAGCCACAGTAGAATTTGTGGGCGAGGATGGTAAAACAAATTTCAATAGACAAGTAATGGACAAGTGTGTGCTCATGCGTTCCTTTCCATTCTGGTATTACTGAATAGCGGACAAAAAGTTGTCTCCAACCGAGACGGTTACGAATGGCGCCGTGCTGTTTTCTGTAAGCCCGCGATGTTTACAATGTGGCCAGGCGTTTTTGTGCACCATGTCGCCCGGTGTTGGATACCGGAGTTTTGTATCATTGTTGAGTAAACAAAAACGTCGACACGACACTATAGAGCGAGGCCTTTTCAGACGGAGACATTTGAACGGCGTGATTGGTCGCCGACAAACGTATCACTAACGAACGGATATTTGGCGGGTAATTAATCTCCAAGCAGATGTAGAAAGTGTGTTTTTTTTTACTAAGAAGACGCAGCAATGCCACAAAAAAACACGTGTAAAACATTGATTGTACATTTTATATTTGACGCTCTGCAGTTCCCAAACGTACGTCACTTCCAAGGCCAAGAGCTACCTACCATCCAAAAACAATGACCCTAGCATGTCCAGATCACGGGATATCAAATATGGAAATTGAAAAGTACCGTTACAAGCAACCATATAATAACAAGCCAACTCTATATAAGCCTTCTCTCGAGTTATGCTGTACGTTCAGGCATACACACACACACACACACACACACACACGCACACGCACGCACGCACATACGCACGCAC